GTCAGTAAAATAATAATATATAATTCTAATAATAATACCTCTAATATCCTAGGCCCTTGGGAAGAGCCCGATATTCAGAGACAAACCCCAGACACTTGGACCTAATGTGCATGTGTGCTGTGATGTTACGTATGCACATAGAAAATAATAACAAGAGCCGGAGCGCTCTTGTGTCTCCTCTTGTGCATTCGATGGCATGCAGCCATAGTGCTTAAAGTGGAATAATAGGACTATAATTTTGTAATGTGGATGGGCTGGAGTTTGGAAGTGTGACTTTTGGGAGGGGGGACTATAGTGCTGTAATTTTAAAAAACCACTGTATTTCTAATCTCAGCAAATTCACTCTGAGCATGCTCTCTGATGTAATGCAGGACTGGTATTTAAGTAAATACGGCTCAGCTTTGAGGCAGAAGGACCGCATGCTGGAATCCCGACATGCCTAGACCGATTTGCCGTGGTTTTGCATGTGGAAGCACCTGGGGTGGCCTGGGATGGGCTGTTCCTTTGGGCTGAAGTGTTCCTCAGCAAGACATGTTTACTTACAGGCCTTTGCCCCATAGTCAGAGGGAAAGGAGAGCACCTGCTGGCAAGGAGTGGAAAACCAGAGCCCACCCACGTGCCCGAAACACCCAAATTTGCATATTGGTGGGGTTGGGAAGGATTAATAATAATAATAATAATAATAATAATAATAATAATAATAATAATAATATAAATCTTTATTTGTACCCTGCTAAAAAAAGTGGGTGCTAGAAACAATATTATATGAAAGCTGACTGGCACAACCTGGGGATCACAACCAGATACAGTGAAGACATCTACCCTTGAGCTGTGCTATTCTGCTGCTGAGTATGCATGCCCAGTGTGGAACACATCTCACCATACAAAAACAGTGGATGTGGCTCTTAATGAGACATGCCGCATTATCACGGGGTGCCTGCGCCCTACACCACTGGAGAAATTACACTGCTTAGCTGGTATTGCACCACCTGACATCCGCCGGGAAGTAGCAGCCAATAGTGAAAGGACCAAGGCAGAGACATCTCCAGCTCATCCCCTGTTTGGGTATCAGACAGCACGTCAACGACTTAAATCTAGAAATAGTTTTCTAAGATCTACAGAGACACTCGCTGGAACACCTCAGCAAGCGAGAGTCCAAAAGTGGCAGGCTCAAACCCAGCACCTCAACCAATGGCTGATACCAAATGAGAGACTCCCCCCTGGCACACAGAAGACTGGGTGACTTGGAAGGCGCTGAACAGACTGCGCTCTGGCACCACGAGATGCAGAGCCAACCTTCAGAAATGGGGCTACAAAGTGGAATCCTCGACATGCGAGTGTGGAGAAGAGCAAACCACTGACCACCTGCTGCAATGCAACCTGAGCCCTGCTACATGCACAATGGAGGACCTTCTTGCAGCAACACCAGAAGCACTCCAAGTGGCCAGATACTGGTCAAAGGACATTTAATCAACTACCAAACTCACAATTTTCGTATTTTGTCTTTTTTTTTTTTGCTTTGTTCTGTTAGAAATGTAATATAATCGACTGGTTGCACTGACACGATAAATAAATAAATAAATACCCTGCTACCATCTCCTCAAGGGACTCGGTGTGGCTTACATGAGGCCGAGCCCACAATACATCAGCAAAACAACAATAACAGCAATACAAAACAATAAAATGAAACTCATAAACAAAAAAACAAGCAGTAAGCATTAACAATAGCACAACAACACTTAAAAACCTATGGCTGGGCCAAATGTAATAATTAATTTTTTAAAAAAATAATGCTGAGCATGACCAGGTGAAATATATAACTAGGATAGGATTTCAGAGAGGAAAGGGCATGCAGACAATCCTAGATCATTGATAAAGGGCATTTAGGGACATATTGCTGGGAGTTTCCTTATTCTGGGAAGGCACACTGGAACAACCATGTTTTCAGGCTCCTCCTAAAGACTGCCAGAGTTGGGGCATGTCTGATGTCCTTGGGGAGTGAGTTCCAGAGTCGAGGGGCCACCACCGAGAAGGTCCTCTCCCTCGTCCCCACCAATCGCGCCTGCGATGGAGGTGGGAGCACGAGCAGGGCCTCTCCAGATGATCGAAAAGATCGTGTGGGTTCATATACAGAAATGCGGTCATGAAGGTCACGGATTGATTTAGTCCCAGTTGTAGTTGCTGGGATTTCTAGTTCTCCTACAATCAAAGCGCATTCTGAACTCCACCAACAATGGAATTGAACCAACCTTTCCCAGGCTCAGGCAGGCCTTCAAATGCTAATGAAGGTGGTCAGCTGAAACATTCACACCTAGCTTCAGCAGAGAGCTCTTTGTCCTACCCTGGTCATTCCACAGATATATAAACCCATTTTCCTATTTCCAACAGACCTCACTACCTCTGAGGATGCTTGCCATAGATGCAGGCGAAACGTCAAGAGAAATGCCTCTAGAACATGGCCCTATAGCCCGAAAAAACCTACAAGAACCTAGTGATTCCAGCCATGAAAGCCTTCGACAATACATTGAACCAACCTTGGCACACAGAACTCCCATGGCCAACAGAAAATACTGGAAGGGTTTAGTGGGCATTTACCTTGAGACCTATAAAAACTTGACCTTGAGTTTTGGAGTTATAGTTCACTTATATCCAGATAACACTGTGGACTCAAACAGTGATGGATCTGGACCAAACTTGGCACAAATACTCAATATGTCCAAATGTGAACACTGATGGAGTTTGGGGGAAATAGACCTTGACATTTGGGAGTTGTACTTGCTGTGATTTATAGTTCACCTACAATCAAAGAGCATTCTGAGCCCCACCAACAATAGAATTAGGCCAAACTTTCCACACAGAACCCCCATGACCGACAGAAAATACTGTGTTTTCTAATGGTCTCTAGTGACCCCTTTGACACCCCCTCGTGACTCCCCTTCCAGGGTCTCGACTCCCAGATTAAGAAACACAGATCTAGGAGGTTAAGATCATCCAGGGAGGCCCTGCTCCCGGTGCCACCTTCCTCGCAGGCACGACTGGTGGGGACGAGAGACAGGGCCTTCTCAGTGGCGTCCTCCATCCCCAATGAAATTAGATCAGCACCCTCCCTTTTGGTCTTCAGAAAGGAAGTAAAGTCATGGATGTGGGACCAAGCCTTTGGGAAGTAAGCAATACAAGAAACGGACAGGATTATGTGCAGTTAGAAAGGCCTCGGACTTTGGTTTCTAGATTATATGATTTAAACGTTTATATTAATATGTTTTTAATTCCATGTTTTAAACATCCAGATGTTGTTTGTTTTTTATTTAGTATGGTTTAATATTATAATTAATAGTTATATGTTACTGTTGTTCTTACACTAGATTTTTTTATATGTTTGTTAGGCATTTAATTTTTGCCATGAATATGTTGGAAAGCGGTTTGAGTCCCCCCGGGGGAGAAAAACAGCATATGAATGCAGTAAATAAATATTAATAATAATTATTATTGCTATTATTATTATTAATACCCCACTTCATCTCCCCAAAGGGGATACTTTTCAATGGTATAAATTCCAGTCCATATTAGCCTTGTGTTGATTTGTGTGGGTCTCTCTACTAGGCTTGGGCAATCAAGAAAAAAATTGGTTCTAAACTCGTTTCGTTTCTAGGGTGCACTACCGTTTCGAAATTCTGAGGACTTCCGAAATTTAAGATTTCAAAATTTCGAAATTTCCGAAATTACGAATCGATTCGTTAATGGCGGACACTTATATCCAGATAACACTGTGGACTCAAACAGTGATGGATCTGGACCAAACTTGGCACAAATACTCAATATGTCCAAATGTGAACACTGGTGGAGTTTGGGGGAAATAGACCTTGACATTTGGGAGTTGTAGTTGCTGTGATTTATAGTTCACCTACAATCAAAGAACATTCTGAACTCCACCAATGATAGAATTGGCTCAAACTTCCCACATGGAATCCCCATGACCATCAGAAAATACTGTGTTTTCTGATGGTCGTTGGCGACCCCTCTGACACCCCTTCGTGACCCCCTCAGGGGTTCCGACCCCCAGGTTGAGAAACACTGTATTATAGTATAATATATTATATATATTATATTATATTATAATATACAATTATAATATAATAATAATAATATAGTAATATAATATATAATATAATAATATAATATATGTTCTTGTGGGTTTTTTCGGGCTATATGGCCATGTTCTAGAGGCATTTCTAGAACATATAATATAATATATGATACTATAATATAATAGTATTATAATAATATAATATAATATATAATATATATTATATTATATTATATTATATACTAGCTGTACCTGGGAATGCATTGCTGTGGCATAGAGTGAGGGTATGAAAAATAAGGTAATGAGAAATTTTGGGTTAATTACAAAATAATTACGAAATAATTACGAAAATTGGAAAAAATTGTTTCGATTCTTAATTACTCCTCACACTATTCCTGCATGGCTCGATATTGGATCGTAAGCTAATTTAAATACGAATCAATAACGAATTACGAAATTAATGAACTGGATCGCCCAAGCCTACTCTCTACCACCTCATTCTGTTGCTGGTGGAAGACTGGGTCTGAGAGAGTAATGTCTATGGGAGGGAACTGAAGAGGGCAGTCAAACGTATGAACCATGAAAATAAAAGCCTCTAAAACTGTAAACAACAGGATGTGAGGAGCTTGGGATGTGACAAAAGCGGGCAGAAAAGCTTCACATACAGGACACCTTGTCCATGCTCTCCAGGTGGCCATGGAAACTGCTTTCTGCAAGGATCACAAAGACATTTGTCCAATTCCAAAAGAACATGTTCCCATAACACATTTCAAATGGAAATAGCCAACAAACTCAGCTAAGCCTCTTGTTTCCAGTATGCTAGGTAGCGTATGCGGAGAGGCTAGCTATTTCAATTTCAATACCCCCGAAAGAAATGGGAATTTTGCCAATTTTGGTGTCGCTAGAGACTCTTTACCTGGGCACAGTACTGGGACCTGGAGACGGCTTGGATGAGCTTGAGGATGGGCTGTGAGAGGGAGACGACCGGAGACATGGCCCGGATGAACGCCGTAAACTTATTGGAAGGGCTGGATCCTGCGGAGAGAAGAGATGGGATGAGCCTGCGATGCCAAAAACCTTCCTCAGACCTGAGCTTGGAACAGTTACTGTGCCCATGTTGGTGATGAGGAGATTTTGGGAGTTAATTAATGTAATAATATATTTAATTAATATAATAATATTACAGAATAGTTGTATAGCCCTAAATGGTCCCGGCCCAAATTACCTGTCCGAACGCATCTCACCACGGTGGTCCACGCTCTCCTTACATCTAGGATAGACTACTGCAATGCACTCTACGTGGGGTTGCCTTTGAAGACTGCTCGGAAGCTTCAAATAGTCCAACGAGAGGCAGCCAGGTTATTAACTGGGGCAGCATACAGGGAGCATACAACTCCCATGTTACGCCAGCTCCACTGGCTGCCAGTTTGATACCGTGCATAATTCAAAGTGCTGGCTTTGGCCTATAAAGCCCTAAACGGCCCGGCCCAAATTACCTGTCCGAACGCATCTCCCCCTATGAACCATCACGGAGATTAAGATCCTGCGGGGAGGCCCTGCTTTCTATCCCACCATTGTCACAGGCACGAGATACAGGGCCTTCTCGGTGATTGCTCCCCGGCTATGGAACTCCCTTCCTGGTGAGATCAGGTCGGCCCCCTCCCTCCTGTCCTTTAGAAGGATGGTAAAAACTTGGCTGAGGGACCAAGCTTTCGGGACAGGGCAATAAAGAAAAGATGACCAGGCCAATTAGACTTGAAGCGGATGACTAGGATGGTTTTAAATGGTGTATTTTAATATTTTGATAAATGTTTTTTAAATGTGTATGTATTGTATGTGAATCTGTGTCCCGGCATTGAATGTTTATCGTGTATATGCTGTGCTTCGCCTTGAGTCCCCTTCAGGGTGAAAAGGGCGGAATAGGAATGTTTTAAATAAATAAATAAATAATAGTACAATATAGTAATATATAATGCTACTATATTATTTATTTATTTATTTAATTCGAGTATTTCAACCCCCGAAGGGGGACTCAGGGTGGCTTACAAAAGGCACAATTCGATGCCATCAATACACATAGTAAGATAAATACATAGCAGCAACAATTATAAAACAATTAAAACAATCCAGCTTTACAGTACAACTAATAAAAACCAATCTAGTGATCAACGTTCGCCAAGCTCAAAATCCGTAAGTTCATTCCGCATTGTCATAATCCTATCCAGTTCTAGTCGTCATTGTCCTTTGTCTGTCTGCCAGGTTACCCAAAGGCCTGGTCCCATATCCATGTTTTTAGTTTCCTTCTAAAAGAGAGGAGAGATGTTGATGACCTAATTTCCCCGGGAAGCAAATTCCACAGGCGAGGGGCCACCACCGAGAAGGTCCTGCTCCTCGTTTCCGCCAGTCTCACTTGTGATAGAGGTGGGGCCGAGAACAGGGCCTCCCCAGAAGATCTTAAACTCCGAGGTGGGACGTAGAAGGAGATACGTTCGGACAGGTACGCTGGGCTGGAGCCGTATAGGGTTTTGTAGGTCAAAACCAGCACTTTGAATTGTGCTCAGAACTGGATCGGCAGCCAGTGGAGCTGACATAACAGAGGGGTGGTATGCTCCCTGTATGACGCTCCGGTGAGTAAACTGGCTGCCGCCCGTTGGACTAATTGAAGTTTCTGAACAGTCTCCAAAGGCAATCCCACGTAGAGTGCGTTGCAGTAATCTATTCGGGATGTATCAAGAGCGTGGACCACTGTGGACAGATCCGACTTCCCAAGGTACGGGCGCAACTGGCGCACAAGTACTATGCTAATAATATAATATATTGTTTATACATATAATATTGATAATAATGTTATAATGTTATACAATATAATACTACTAACAATACAATATCATAATATTCATGATGTATTATATATTACTAATAATATTATGTTATAGTGGTATAGTACAATATAGTAATATATAATGCTAATATTGTGCTATGCTAATAATATAATATATTGTATGTACATATAACTTGTAAGCTGCTCTGAGTCCCCTTCGGGGTGAGAGAGGACAGGGTATAAATGTAGTAAATAATAATAATAATAATAATAATAATAATAAGAAGAAGAAGAAGAAGAAGAAGAAGCCTGAAAAAGTTACAGAAAATGAACACATCAAACTACTCTGGGACTTCCGAATTCAGACTGACAGAGTTCTGGAGCACAATACTCCTGTGCTGTCACACCCAGACCCTATAAAAATAGACTAAGATGTGCTTCTCTCTTTGTCTGGGTGGACCGCTGGGGTCTTCCTTTGGAAGCTTGAGATTTTCAGCAATTGAGGCTACTTCAGTCTTTAAACATCAAAATGAAATATTTATTTCTCAAAGTCCTTGCAGACTTGGCACAACTTGGCAAAGTTACAAACAGTCAATTGATGAAGCAATAGAGATGATCTTTCCTTCCTTTCCTTGAGTTACTGAGGTAGCTTTTCCCCAAAATGGCAGAAGAGGTTCCTGGGGACCTTTTCACCCTAACCCTGAGCTGCTATGGTTAGAAAAATGCAGGTTTTTCCCCTATCTATAGCTCAAGGTTAGCTTTGGAGATGAAGTAATGCTCAATATATAACTCAATACCTATCCTATCCTATCCTATCCTATCTATCTATCTATCTATCTATCTATCTATCTATCTATCTATCTATCTATCTATCTATCTCTATAGTACTCAATAGCTTCTCTATCTAAATCTCAATATGCTTCTATATAACTCAATTATATAGCACATCTGAAGCTTTCTTTTTCAACTGAAGAAGACAGGGGAGATTTCCAAATGGAGATCTCAACCCAGGAGAAAAGGCGGTCCCTAGACCCAAAGAGATACCTTTCCAAATCAATAGCTGCAAAAGAGGCCTGCAGACTGGCTTTCCAGACTCTGATAATGTTAACTTTCAGAGTGCAGCTAAGATTGTAGCAACCCTGGGGAAATGCAAAAGAATGCTATCCCATGCAACTAAAAAGTAATGCAAACTATGCTCCTGGAAGACGGAACAACTCCTGACCTCATAATAGTGTTAAAAAACGAAGTATGGATTGTTGATGTTGTCATCCCAGGTGACAGCAGGATTGAAGAGAAACAACTGGAAAAGTTGACACAATATGAGGATTTAGAATCGAACTGCAAAGAATCTGGCACAAACCAGTAAATGTGGTCCCAGTGGTGATCGGCACACTGCGTGCAGCGCCTAAAGACCTTGGCCTGCACTTAAACACAATCGGCGCTGGCAAAATTACCACCTGCCAGCTGCAAAAGGCCACCTTACTGGGATCTGCACACATTATTCGCCGAAACATCACACAGTCCTAGACACTTGGGAAGTGTCTGACGTGTGATCCAATACAACAGCCAGCAGCTCCTCTATTCTGCTTTGGTTAGACCACACCGGGAATATTGTGTCCAATTATGGGCACCACAATTCAAGAGAGATATTGACAAGCTGGAATGTGTCCAGAGGAGGCGACTAAAATGATCAAGGGTCTGGAGAACAAGCCCTATGAGGAGCGGCTTAAGGAGCTGGGCATGTTTAGCTGAAGAAGAGAAGGCTGAGAGGAGATATGATAGCCATGTATAAATATGTGAGAGGAAGCCACAGGGAGGAGGGAGCAAGCTTGTTTTCTGCTTCCCTGGAGACTAGGACATGAAACAATGGCTGCAAACTACAAGAGAGGAGATTCCATCTGAACATGAGGAAGAACTTCCTGACTGTGAGAGCCGTTCAGCAGTGGAACTCTCTGCCCCGGAGTGTGGTGGAGGCTCCTTCTTTGGAAGCTTTTAAACAGAGGCTGGATGGCCATCTGTCAGGGGTGATTTGAATGCAATATGACCTACAAAACCCTATACAGTTCCGGCCCAGCGTACCTGTCCGAACGCATCTCCCTCTACGTCCCGCCTCGGAGTTTAAGATCTTCTGGGGAGGCCCTGCTCTCAGCCCCGCCTCTATCACAAGTGAGACTGGCGGGGACGAGGAGCAGGGCCTTCTCGGTGGTGGCCCCTCACCTGTGGAATTCACTCCCCGGGGAAATTAGATCATCGACATCCCTCCTTTCCTTTAGAAGGAAATTAAAAACGTGGATTTGGGACCAGGCGTTTGGGTAATCTGGCAGATAAATAAAGGACAACAACAACTGATAGGAATGGACAAGGTGGAATGAATTTAGGGACTCCGAGTTGGCGAACGTTGAGCATGAGATTGATTTTTTTATTGATTGTGAGTTATAATTGATTGTTTTTAACTGTTATAATTGTTTTTAATTGCTGTTTATACATGTTTATCTGTATTATTGTGTAGGCATCGAATTGTGCGTTTTGTAAGCCGCCCTGAGTCCCCCCTCGGGGGTTGAGAAGGGCGGGGTAGAAATATGCGAAATAATAAATAAATAATAAATATTCCTGCTTCTTGGCAGGGGGTTGGACTGGATGGCCCATGAGGTCTCTTCCAACTCTCGGATTCTATGATTCTATAATAATAATAATAATAATAATAGTAATAATAATAATAATGTTGTCAAATCAGGGGTAGGTTGATGGGGATATGAAATGAAATATCCCAGAATATGGAATACAACATCTTGACAGGAGTACAACATGGAGTCTCCTTTATGGAGAGAAAAAGCAGGGTATAAATAAATAAATAAATAAAGAAAATAATACAACACACTCCATCATCCTATTTCAGATGTGCTGTCTCTCCCATCTTCTTCCATGTCCTATCACCACTGCTAGAAGTAGAGAAACAATACGCTGAAGAGATTGCATAGGGAAAAGGTCCCCTACCTTGCTGCAGGTAGTAGAAAGGGAAGTCATTCAGATGAGTGGAGAATTCTGGCAGTGCCAGCAGCCCTCCCGGAAGTGCGTTCCACAAGAACCTTGGGCGGGATTCTTGATGAAATATCCGATCCTTTATGATCTGGAAAAGAAAAAGAAAGTTGTCATCGCACAAGCATTACACCCCTGAAGCTGTCAGCATCTGACATGAGAGAGGAGGAGGAGGAGGAGGCATCAATTGGGCTCTGAGATCAACCTCAGCCCGGCTTCTCGCATCAAGGAAAAGAAAGGTAGGCTGCTGTGATGTAGGCTGACAAGTTAAGACGAGGAGATTTCACCTCTGAAATGAGCTCAGCTGGTTTTCTCAACATCCAAACAGCACTCTTGACATCGTTTTTTAGACGTGACCTGTCATTGCACTTGATTTCCTTCACTGCCATATTTTGCATTGAACGTGTCCTTTTGTTTATTTGTCAGCAGAAGGTCAACGAAGGCTTAACTGGAAAAGTGTCATGCACCAGAGCAGGAACACCTCTGATACCACACCAGCTTGGTAAAATCAGCAAGCAGTTTATTGAAGAATATAAGTAGGCAAAGCAGTAAAATTAGCAAAAACAGTAAAGTTCCAAAAGAATGGTTAGTCAAGGCAAAACAAGATCTATAGGTATACAAATCCAGGAAACAGACATAAGAATCCATGAAACAAGGCAGCATGAAAAATCCAATACACAAATGTGGAGCTTGGCAAAAACGTGTTCCATGAAACTAAGAACACTTGAAAGCAAGAACATCATGAAATTCCAACGTTGATCCGACTGAGACAACTCTTTCCCATGAATCAATATAAAGGTTTTCCAGATCCCAAAACGAATAAAGATAAAGGTTTCTTATCTTTATTTTTCTGTAAACAAATTTATTTATTTTATTTCGGTTGCTTCTACCCCACCCTTCTTACCCCAAAGGGGACTCAGGGCGGCTTACAAAAACAAGGCACAATTTGATGCCCGTATCACAAACAATAGCAAAAAAAAATAACATCAATTAACAATTAAACAACATTTCTTACATTACTAACATAAAACCAATAGCCAATAAAATCAATACAAACCAGTTTCTCCTCATTGATGGTCAATGTTCACTAGCTCATAGTTCAATTTCCAATTCCACAGTTGTCAGTCCTGTTAGTCGCATTTGTCTGGTTACCCTTATCTAGGAGTCAGATCGCCCAAAGGCCTGGTCCCATAACCACATCTTTACCTTCCTCCTGAAGGAGAGGAGGGATGTTGATGCCCTAATTTCCCCCGGGAGTGAGTTCCACAGGTGAGGGGCCACCACTGAGAAGGCCCTGCTCCTCGTCCCCACCAACCTCACTTGTGATAGCGGTGGAGTCGAGAGCAGGGCCCCCTCAGATGATCTCAAATTCTGAGGTGGGACGTAGAGGGAGATACGTTCAGACAGATATACTGGACCGGAACCGTACAGGGTTTTATAGGTCAAGACCAGCACCTTGAATTGTGCTCGGAACTGAACCGGCAGCCAGTGGAGCTGAGACAACAGGGGGGTAGTGTGCTCCCTGTATGTCGCTCTGGTGAGCAATCTGGCTGCCGCTCGCTGGACCAGTTGAAGTTTCCGAACAGTCTTCAAGGGCAACCCCATGTAGAGTGCGTTGCAGTAGTCTATTCAGGATGTAACAAGAGCATGGACCACTGTGGCCAGATCAGACTTCCCAAGGTACGGGCGCAACTGGTGCACAAGTTTTAGTTGTGCAAAAGCTCTCCCGGCCACCACTGAAACCTGGGGTTCCAGGCTCAGCAATGAGTCCAGGATCACTCCCAAGCTGCGAACCTGCGTCTTCAGGGGGAGTGTAACCCCGTCCAGCACAGGCTGTATCCCTATGCCCTGTTCGGCCTTACGACTGACCAATAGGACCTCTGTCTTGTCTGGATTCAGTTTCAATTTGTTAGCTCTCAACAAATTGAAACCGATCTTCTTTGCGCCTGAGCACTCTGTCTCTGTTTACAAAAGCTTGCTTCCTATCTATACTCTCATTAACTTGACCCTCATTAACTTCTGCACATGACAAATGATCTTCAGATAGTTGCTCTGAGAAAGACTGTGACGGACTTCTCCCAGGAATGTAACCTTGTGACAGCTCAGGCCTCTTGTCTGAGCTTAACTCAGGCCCAAGCAAACTCTCATCTCCATTGCAAACCGACCCAGATCCACCATTAGGAACATTATTATCCCCATTCCCATCATGAACATCAGACACAATCAGTCTGAACAGGATGACACACAACAGAAAGCCTGATTGAGAAAGTATGTAATTCTGAGTCCTCTTCTATACTGCCATATAATATCCAGGTGATCTGCTTTGAACTGGATTATGTGGCTGTGTAGACTCATATAATCCAGTTCAAAGCAGATCACGTGGATGATCTGCTTTGATAATCTGGATTATATGGCAGTGTAGAAGGGGACTGAGGAAATCCTGCTGTGAAATTCCACTGAAAACGGATTAATTTGCAAAAATTTGTATTCCCCTCTGATCAGCTCTCAGACATAGCTTTATTCTCTCTGGGTGCATCTTCACTGGAGGGTTAATGCAGTTTGACGCAACTTTAATTGCCATGGCGCCATGCTGAGGAATCCTGGGAGTTGTTTGGGGAGAGACACCAGCAATTACTCTTTGGCAGAGAAGGTGAAAGACCTTGTAAAACTCCTATGATTCCATAGCATTGAACCATGGCAGTTAATACTATAATATTTATAATATTATAATGTATTACAATATAATACTAATACTAATAATATGATATTATAATTATATATTTTATATTACATGTAATATTACTAATAATATTACAGCATAATGGTATAGTACAATATAGTAATATATAATACCGATATTGTACTATGCTAATAATATAATATATTGTATGTATATATATTTTGTAAGTCGCTCTGAGTCCCCTTCAGAGTGAGAAGGGCAGCATATAAATAAATAAATAAATAAATAAACAAACAAACAAATAAAGTGGCATCAAAATACATTAATTCTGCAGTGTAAAAGCACCTTCACGCTCATCCCCGTCATCTACATTTCCAATTTGTGGATAACAATATTGACTTATCTTGCAGATCTGCTGTAAAAATGATCAGGATAATGTAGATTAAAGCTTTCAAACGTGCATTGTATAAAATGGTAGTCAAGCTGCTTTAATGTACATCTGCACTGTTGAATGAATACAGTCTGGCATGACTTTAGCAGTCAAGGCTCAAAGTTATGGATTCATGGGAGTTGTAGTGTTCCATATCATTGAGCCATGGCAATTAAAGTTGTGTCAAGCTGCATTTGTTCTACAGTGTAGATGCACCTAAAGAAAATAAGGTTGGATCTATTGACTATATCTATGGAATAATAATATCATAAAATCCTTGAGTTGGAAGAGACCTCATGGGCCATCTAGTCCAACCCCATTCTTCCAAGAAGCAGAAAAATCACATTCAAAGCACCCCCGACAGATAGCCATCCAGCCTGTTTAAAAGCCTGCAAAGAAGGAGCCTCCACCGCACTCCGGGGCAGAGAGTTCCACTGCTGAACAGCTCTCACAGTTAGGAATTTCTTTCTCATGTTCAGGTGGAATCTCCTTTCCTGTAGTCTGAAGCCACTGCTCCTCGTCCTAGTTTCCAGGACAGCAGAAAACAAGCCAACTCCCTCCTCCCTATGACTTCCCCTCACATCATGCTCATCATGTCTCCTATCATGTCTCCTATCAGCCTTCTCTTGTGCAGTCTAAAGAGACCCAGCTCTTTAAGCCACTCCTCATAGGGCTTGTTCTCCAGACCCTTCAGCATTTTAGTCGCTCTCCTTTGGACACATTCCAGTTTGTCAACATCTCCCCTAAACTGCAGTGCCCAGAATTGGACACAGTGTGATTCCAGGTGTGGGCTGACTAAGGCAGAATAGAAGGGTAGCATAACTTCCCCTGATCTAGACACTATGCCGGCCAAAATTGGCTTTTTTAGCCGTCGCATCACATTGTTGGCTCATGTTCCCCTTCCTCCCCACGAGGACTCAAAGATCTTTTTCACATGTACTGTTGTCGAGCCTGGGATTGTCCCCCATTCCGTATCTTTGCATGTCATTCTTCCTGCCTAAGTGGAGTGTCCTGCATTTGTCCCTGTTGAACTTCATTTTGTTATTTTTGGCCCGTCTCTCCAAAATTGTTTTGTTAAAACAGGAGTTGTTTTTTTGAGCTCCTTGCCCATTAAGGGCAAATCCTGCTCTTTTCTCCCCTGATTGCTTTCTTCTATCTTGAAAGAGCTAGTTTTATGGTGATGTGTTTTTAATAGCGTGTTGTTAGTAGTGTTATGTTACCTACACTTTAGATGTCTCATGTAGAATATAAGATAACACGTGCAGGAACAAATGTGTCAGGATCCAAGTGAACAACCCCTCACTTGCCTTCATTGTGGAGTCAAAAGGGTGACAAAGGACCCTCTGGGACTTTTCAACCTGATCATTGTTGGGCTTAGCGATGAAGGCGTAATTCCCAGTAACACTTCATCCATGACACAATGCACACAGCTTTGTCACTCAGCGAGAACCGTGCCCTTTCCAGACACCACTCCGTATTATTCCTTTGTTTAACAAGAACAAGTGGGTGGCTTAGAAACAGCCATCACATTAACAGAGAAGAGCTGATCGGTGACAACTTGTCACAAAAGAGGAGATGATTTAGGAGTGGTCCTAAGCCATCTGCCCTGCTAGCAAGCAACAGCAAGCAACAAGCAAGATGGGGACGGTTGGGTTTAAATCCAGCAAAAAATTTAATTTGTGTCATTTTTCTATTGTGTTATTTCTATGTCAGCCTGTCAAGTTATTGTTATTGTCATTATGTGTTATGTTTTTATTTTTGTTTCAGTTTATGTATTTTATTTTCTATTAGGTTTTTCATAGCATCCTAGAATCCTAGAATTGGAAGAGACCTCATGGGGTCATCCAGTCCAACCCCATTCTGCCAAGAAGAAGGAAAACTGCATTCAATGCACCATTGGCTTGTGATCCCACCAGTTCTTTGTTGCAGGCAGATAGTATTTGTGTCACAAGTTCCAATGAATCATCTGAGTAACGGTGTTGTGCCTCTGCTTGTAGTCTGTCTGCGCGATCTTCTTTCAGCAGCTCAGGATGTGATCTATTGTTTCATCTGCTTCCTTGCAGAGTCTACATTTGGTTCCGGCCCAAGCTACCTATCTGACCGCATCTCTGCCTATGAACCCACCAGGACTTTGAGATCTTCCGGGGAGACCCTGCTCTCGATCCCGCCTGCTTCTCAAGCTCGGCTGGTGGGGACGAGAGATAGGGCCTTCTCGGTGGTAGCTCCTCGGCTGTGGAACGCCCTTCCTACGGACATTAGACTAGCACCATCTCTAATGGTATTCCGCAAAAAAGTGAAGACCTGGCTGTTTGAGCAGGCGTTCGAATAATTAGTGCAATGATTGGTTAATGAACACTGGAATGGAACAATGGATGACGAATGTGGAACATGTTTTTGATGATGAGGCGACAATGAATGGGTATTGTAGTAATGTTTATTAATTGTGTAATGTGTTAGGTTGTTAACTGTTTTTATACTGTAGCACTGAATTTTTGCTGTTCGCATTTGTTGTGAACCGCTGTGAGTCGCCTTCGGGCTGAGAACAGCGGTATATAAGTAAGGTAAATAATAAATAATAATAATAATAATAATAATAATAATAATAATCTGTTGTCGACTTTTCAATTCTGGCTTTGATGGCATTGGTTAATGGCTTGTTCTTGGGCTGCCAGAACCAGGCCCTCCGTCTCCTTTTTCAGAGTTCCATTTGTGAGCCATAGCCATGTTTTTTCTTTGTCAATTTGGCTCTCAGTTGTTGCCAAAAACTATCCATGGAGAGCCTTCTTTTGCCAGTTTTCTCTTCTGCTCTGGATTGTGTTTTTACGGTAGTCACTCTTTGTCTTTTGCACTTGAAGCAGTTTACTACTATTGACTTCCCACAATGTTGGTTCTTGACTGCCTTTTACATAATCTGCCAGTGCGTGTTTCTCTTCTTCTACCGTTTGTTTCACTTGCAAAAACCCTCTGATTTTCTGGGCAGGTCAAGTCTGCCGACATCACTATGCGGGTGTAATGTGTAGTGGATTGTCATCAGTTTTCTTGTTTTTCTGTCCAGATCATCCAGCTCTGCTTGTATCCAGTTCACAATCCCAGCAGTGTATCTAATGACGGGGATGGCCCAGGGGTTGAAAGCCTTGGTCATATTTCCGCCATTTAATTTGCTCTTCAAAACCTTTCTGATTCTTTGGATATATTCTTTGCTGACCACATTTTTCACTTGCCCATGCTTGATATTTTCCAACTGTAGTATGCCCAGATATTTATAGGCTTCAGGCTGATTGCACTTTATGGTTTGTCCGTTTGGCATCTCTATGCCCTCGCTGTGTGTAATTTTTCCTTTCTTTAATGCCATTGCGGCACATTTGTCTAGGCCAAACTCCATACTGATGGCAGTGCTAAAGATTCTGACTGTATTGGTCAGTGACTCAATTTCAGTTTCTGATTTTCCGTAAAGCTTTAGATCATCCTTGTACAGTAAGTGGGACATTTTTGTTGAATTTCTTGCTGTTTGGTAGCCTAGGTTTGTTTTCTATAAAATTACTGACAGAGGGATCATTGCAATGATGAACAACAGTGGTGATAGTGAGTCACCTTGGAAAATTCCTCTCTTGATGTTAACAGTTCCATAGCTTTCATTGCCTACGAACAACTCAGTTTTCCATTGTTTCATTGCATTTTCAGTTAACTTTCTAATATTTTCACAAACCCCGATGACATCTAGACATTTGATAATCCAACAATGTGGCAGTGAGTCAAATGCTATTATTATTATTATTATTATTATTATTATTATTATTATTAGGTCTTATTTTAAAATTGGTTTCAATTTTGATTTTTAAGATTTTTTTCCCACCAAACTGCTGGCTTTGAAAACTGTTCTCTATAGGGATCTCTAGCTCCTCCAGTGCAACTCCATGCTGGAATGTAACCGGACCTTAAAGTCATACTGCAAATAATCAAATTTGCAATAGTAGAACCCACAAATGTGGAGGGCTGGCTGTATTCTTTTGGCACCTGGCCTTCCTGGAAATATCCACTGTGGATTTCTCTTGTTCCAACCCTTCTTGAACAGACTTTTCTGGCCTGGCTGGTTGGCAACCTCAGGCAAGAGGCTGGTGGTCAGAGAATGGAGCTCTCCAAGGCTTTGTGGCTCACCTCAAGGGTGGTGTGGACAATCTTGTCCACGGAGGAGAAATAAGCTTCCCACAGGAACTGCGTTTGCTGCTGGAAAGCCAGGATCTTGTCGCTGTGGAGACATCGGACAGTAGACGGAATCTGCAAGGAGGCAAAGTAGAAGAAGTGGAAACAAACTGATTTATGACCAAGGAAGGTACCCAAAGGTCACAAAGATCTAAAACAAGGGATAGGGTAGAGGAAAGCAGTATTGTAGGCACTGCATTAAAAAAACCTGCATGAACCACATTTGTTTACACTTATTTACAATACAGGCAGTCCCCGAGTCACAAACATCTGACTTACAAATGACTCCTAGTTAAGAACGGGGCTGGGACTACTGGAAATTCCATAACCTATTGGAAATAAGTGCACCATAACATTACTGAAAAGGTAAAAATGATGTCACATCCGTTTGGCAAATGTGAATCTCCATGAACATAGAGAGCATCTTTTGAAAATCACTAGTCAAAAAAAGCATGACCTTGTTAGAAGTCAATTCTTTGAACAAGTGATATTCACAAGAATTAATGTAATGACACACAGGTAACTCAGCTGTTAAACTCAAGAACCATGTCTTTAAACTGCAAAGGATAAAGACATGCCACTACAAAATATCTTTTTGGTTGTTTTTTTGAAGGTAGAATTTGCAGCTGTAATTGCCCAAAACATATACACTCTCTTGAAACCTTTACTAACAAACTTCTTGTATATATTCAGCAAACTATTATTATTATTATTAACTTTATTTGTACCCCGCTAGCATCTCCCGAAGGACTCGATGCGGCTTACATGGGCCGAGGCCTCAAAAATAACAAAACAATACACATAACATTATAAAGCAAATCAAAAGCATCAAACAATAGACGATAAACAATACACCATAACACAATTAAAAACTAGGACCGGGCCAACTGTAATGGGTACAGATTAAAAAGGTGCTGAGTATGACCGGTAACATGTAGGATTTTAGGGTAAGTGCAATGTGCAGACAATCTTAACTCTCTGATAAAGTGCTTCTGGGACATATTGCTGGAGTTTTCCTATTCTGGAAAGGCACACCGGAACAGCCAGGTCTTCAAGCTCTTCCTAAAGACTGCCAGTGTAGGGCTTGTCTGATGTCCTTGGGGAGGGTGTTCCAAAGTCGGGGGGCTACCACAGAAAAGGCCCTGTTCCTCGTCCCCATCAAACGTGCCTGCGACGCAGGTGGGATCGCGAGCAGGGCCTCTCCGGATGAACGAAGGGAGCGTGTGGGTTCATAAACGGAGATGCGGTCACACAGGTAGGCAGGTCCCAAACCATTTAGGGCTTTGTAGGTAAGCACCTGCACCTTGAATTGGGACCGGAAAATGAACGGCAGCCAATGGCGCTCCTTGAACTGGAGGGTTCACCTCTCTCTGTACGGGGCTCCGGTTAACATCCTGCCCGCTGCCCGTTGGACTAGCTGAAATTTCCGAGCCGTTTTCAAGGGCAGCCCCACGTAGAGTGCATTACAGTAGTCCAATCTAGAGGTGACCAAGGCATGGACCACCCCAGCCAGATAAGCCTTTGCACGAGTCTCAATTGTGCAAAAGCCCTCCTGGATACCGCCGACGCCTGAGTCTCAAGCGTAAGTGATGAATCCAAGAGGACTCCCAAACTGCGGACCTGTGACTTCAGGGGGAATGTAACCCCGTTCAGCACAGGTTGCCACCCTATACCCCGATCCAGTTTTCGATCGACCAGGAGGACCTCTGTCTTGTCGGGATTGGTCTTCAGCTTGTTCTTCCACATCAAGACAGCCACAGCGGCCAAGCACTCGTCCAGCACTCGAGGGGCTTCCTTGGAGTTAGGTGGAAATGAGTAGTAGAGTTATGTGTCATCTGCGTAGAGGTGGCACCTAACTCCAAAACTCCGGATGACCTCTCCCAGCGGTTTCATGTAGATGTTAAAAAGCATGGGAGACAAAATAGAGCCTTTGGTGTCAATTTGCCCACTGGTTTTTTAGTTCTGTGAATCCCACAAACAAACATTACATTTTTATTTATATTTATATAGATATTATATTAAATTATTAAAAGGAAAACACAGGATTGTATATTTTGGCAAAGAGTAGTTTTGCATGAAGCCCAAAGGAGTGAATGGACAACAAATCGGATAGGATAGGATTATTAACTCTGAGCGTTAACTAAATTGCAACCTGCTGCTACTGACACAGACTACTTAACCAATGCCAAGGGGCCCGGGGCCATTCGAGAACACCCATTATTTCATCTGCCACAATTAAATTCATTACCCGACCTGCTTCTCTCCTTTGAATCAACGTCTCATTACTCATAACAGAAACAGCAAAGGAGTGGATGGGAATCTCAGAAGCCAGGATTCTAGACTTAACTTGTTCCACCGTTTCAAGGAGGAGAAAACATTTAAGGACAATTTGCAACTGGCAGATGGAAACATTCTTTTGGATATCTTCTCGGTCGCTTAGATAACAGATAAGCAGAACACAGAATGATCTGATGAGCTTGATGATATCTCACTGCTCTAGCTACCTACCTGTTGCTCTCTCCGACTTTTACTTAGTACAGTGTTTCTCAACCTTCCTAATGCTGCGACCCCTTAATGCAGTTCCTCCTGTTGTGATGACCTCGGAATGATAACATTATTTTTGTTGCTACTTCATAACTGTTATGAATCATAATGGAAATATCTGATATGCAGGATTTATTTTCATTCACTGGACCAAATTTGGCACAAATACCCAACGTACCCAAATTTTAATACTGGTGGGGTTGGGGGGAGGGTTGATTTTGTCATTTGGGAGTTGTAGTTGCTGGGATTTATAGATGACCTACAATCAAAGAGCATTCTGAACTTCACCAACGATGTAATTGAACCAAACCTGGCACACAGAACTTCCATGACCAACAGAAAATACTGGGTTTGGTGGGCATTGACCTTGAGTTTTGGAGTTGTAGTTCAACTGTGCTGGTACAGCTGTACCAGTAGCTCCAACTCTATTTGCTTTGTATTGAATGTTTGTTTGCAGTCCTAGATTTCAGGGACTCTGCAGATAGGTGGCTTCCTTTGGTTGCAGTCATAGGGCAAGTCACCTGTCCATCATTGTTAAGTTTTGGTTCCTTCGTTGCTCAGGGCAATTGGGAAGGGAAGGGAGCCATTTTTAGTTAGCCTCAGCAAGGAAAGCTAATGTACAGGACATGTGCAAGCTTCCCCTGTACAAAAGCTTCAACCCTTAAGACTTTCCGGGGGGAAACAGTCTTAAGAGCATCCAAGACTTTCCGGGAGAGAACAGTCTTAAGAGTCTCCAAAGACTTTCCAGGGAAACAGCCCTAAAGACCAAAGAACTCCAGCTGGAGAACATCTAAGCCTTTACTGATAGGTCCACACGGCGTTCGAGAAGCAGTTCGACCCGGTAGCGGAGCCCACATCAGTAAGGGTTAGATTACAGTCAGCCTGGGAGAAGTTAAAAGGGGGATTTTCCATTTAAAATAAAGAAGAAGTTATTGAAGACAGTTGCCTGTCCTTCGTGGGGAAGATTAGGAAGCTACAAGTTGCATAAAAGCCTGAAATCATTTGTTTAACTTTCTGAAGACAAAAGAAGTTTCTGTTTGATTGTTCATTAATAAAGGACTTTGTTATACTTCACAAGCCATCTAAAGATCATTTGTGGTGGAAAACCTCTGAGAACTTCTCTTTGGGCCCCCTGGCTTCCCACTGGGCAAAGGTTGCATGTCCTGTTCTAAAGGAAATTCTTTACAGGCCCAGCGTGCGACAGAACATCAACTATATCCAGACAGCACTGTGGACTCAAACATTTTTTTTCTGTGTCAGGAGTGACTTGAGAAACTGCAAGTCACTTCTGGTGTGAGGTAATTGGTTGTCTGCAACGATGTTGCCCAGCGGACACCTGGATGTTTAGATGTTTTACCATCCTTGTGGGAGGCTGTTCTCATATCCCCACAAAAGAGAGCTGGAGCTGACAGAGGGAGCCCATCTGCGCTCTCCCTGGATTCGAACCTCCGCTCTGTCGGTCTTTAGTCCCACTGGCACAAGGGTTTAATCTTGGCACAAATCCTCAATATGCCCAAATGTGAACACTGGTGTAGTTTGGGGAAACAGACCTTGACATTTGGGATATGCAGTTGCTGGGATTTATAGTTCACCTGCAATCAAAGAACATTCTGAACTCTAGCAATGATAGAATTGGGCCAAACGTCTCACACAGAATCCCCACAACCAACATAAAATACTGTGTTTTTCTGATGGCCTTTGGCAACCTCTCTGACACCCCCCCCCACCTTGCGACCCCCTCCCCAAGGGATCCCAACCCCCATGTTAAGAAATGCTGATCTATACTGTAGAATGAATGCAGTTTGGCACCAATTTAACTGCCATGGCTCAATGCTGTAGAATCTTGGGATTTGCAGTTTGGTGAGGCACCAGCACTACTTGACAAGAGAAGGCTAAAAACCTTATAAAATGACACCTCCCAGGATTCCATAGAATTGAACCATGAGTGCTAAGGTGATATCAAAATGCATTAATCCTATAGTATAGATGCACTCTGAGAAGGCTCTCTCCTATGTCCTCGCCCTGTGATGGTGGCAGAAGTGATACAAAGCTCACAGGTCTTCAAGCTCAGGGAGCCTGGTACTCTTTTCAATGAATGCTTTATATGATGTTTTTGATGCCCCGATACATTACAATTTTGAGTTTGTTTTGTGAAATGCTCCAAGATCTTTGGCCAGTCTGTGGTGCATAAATGGAGTAAATAAGTAAAATGTGTCAACAGATGAAAGGTTGTTTGTGCAACTTTTCTTTGCTGCTCGTAGAGAGGCATCCACACAGAGGATCTGTTCATCCCAACACGGCACTGACCTCACGGTGATGCCCTGCAACACAGTCATCCTATCATTCCCAGTGTGAACAGCACAGAGGGCCAATTATGGCCTGGCGCCATCGTGTACCAATTCAGCTGGACTCCGGCTTGCATCCTGAATATAGAGCCGGCCTTGTTACCTGCAGAAGGAGCCTCTCGTCCCCGACAATGGCGGATTTGCTCCAATCGATCACTTCGGAAAAGGGCAGCTCCCAACCGTTGCTGAGCAAAACTGGGATGCAGGCAGCCTGGATCAACGAACGAGAGAAAGAGGGGGGTAAGACTTGAAGACACACAAAAACAACAACATCAGCAGGAAAAAAAGATGCATTAACAAATTGCAGTGTAACCCAATACCAGCTTTCTCCCTCTTCAGATATAAGCCAAGCCGTGTTCGGTTGGACTTACTCCATGGTCTTTAATTTGCATGGCCCACTTGTTTGAGCAATGAGGATTTCCAATTTATGCATATTTTTCAAAAAGTGTCAGCTGAAAGTAGGCAGTGTGTACAAGTGGTTGGAATTTGGGACTAGGTGATCTAACCCTCATCTACACTGCACACAGAAGCTAGCTTCCAACTGAAGTGGCCAGACAACAAATCCCCACAAAAGCACACAAAAAGAAAGCCCTTAATGTGCATCAGTGCAAGTGTTATTTGCAGAATCACCATCCTGGTTCCAGGATTTCCAATGTAATCCATCTGTACAGCGAAACCACTTTCTTCAATGCTGAGCTCTTTTCTGAGGCCCTCCTCTCTCTCGCCATCCTATCTTTCCTTTCTTCTCTCTTTCCTTCCTCCTTTCCTCCCTTACCTCCCTCTTTCGCTCTCCTTCCTTTTCCTCCCTCTTTCTCCTTCTTCCTCCTTCTTCCTCCCTTCCTTCCTTCTCTCCCCCTTCCTTCCCTTCCTTCCCTTCTTTCTTTAATTATTACATTTGGCCCAGCCATAGGTTTTAATTGTCATTGTGTTACTGTTAATGTTTATTGCTTATTTTTGTTATGAGTTTTATTTTATTGTTTTGTATTATTTGTTGTTATTGCTTTTATTATTGATGTATTGTGGGCTCGGCCTCATGTAAGCCTCACCGAGTCCCTTGGGAGATGGTAGCAGAGTATAAATAAAGTATTATTATTATTATTATTATTATTATTAAGCAACACTTTGATCGAGTTTCCATGGTTTAAGTGATTTTTTTTTTGCTTCGCATGCAAAGATTATTCAAGGGAATCTATGTGTGTACTTAGTTAGCTTCTTTCCTTCTTCCTTCCCTACCTTTTTCTCTTCCTTCTTTCCTCCTTCCATCCTTCCCTCCTTCCCTTTCTTTTTTCCTACTCTCTTCCTTCCTCCTTTCTTTCCTTCTCCTTTTCTTTCCTCCTTCCATCCTTCCCTTCCTTCCCTTTCATCCTTTTTTTCCTACTCTCTATCCTTCCTCCTTCTCTTCCTTTCATCCTTCCTTCCCTTTTCTTTCCTTCCTTCCTTATGTCTTTCCTCTCTCCTTCTTTCTTTCTTCTTCCATCTTTTCCTTCCACCTTTTTGTCCTTCCTTCCCTCTTTCCTTTATCCTTCCCTCCCTTCCTTCCTTCCTTCCTTCCTTCCTTCCTTCCTTCCTTCCTTCCTTCCTTCCTTCATCCTCCCTCCCTCCCCTTCCCTTCCACCCTTCCTTCCCTTTTGTCTTACCTTCTTTCCCTCTTTCCTCCCTCCTTTCCTCCCTCCCTCTTTCTCCTTCCATCCTTCACTTCCTTCCTTTCATTTTTCCTTCCTTCTCTCTCTCCTTCCTCCTTCCCTCCATCACCAGGCAGCCAGTCCTCCTAGCAGGGAGTGTTAGCATGCAGCCCCAAGTTAGAAAGTTTGCCCATGCCTGTTGTAGACGGTGTTGGAGGAAGCAACCTTCTCAAGCCTCCTCTATATGATGTTTGTCTGTGTTATAATGTATCTTTTTATAACCTGAAGTATATGTCTTATTTGATTTGCAGTTTCCTTATCTCTATATGCCTAGAGCAGTGGGAGGGGCTGCAGGTCACGTGACTGACTCAGTGACAGAATGTTCAGGCTTAAACAAGATGACAGTTAGGGAATGTCGTTTGAGTAATGACTGTTAGAGAAGTGTGTTGAGCCTCAAATGAGCTTGAGCATAGAAGTTTGTCAGAGTGAAGAAGTTCATGTTAGGAAGTTAGAAACTGTTGAGCCTTATGTTTTATTTGAAAGTAAATGCCTATTAAAGAGAGCTGTATAAAGCAACATAGTTGAAGAAACTGTTAAAAATTATAAGTTCAAGATACACACTCTCTGAAACATTACTGAAGTCTTTAACCCTTGAGAAGAAATGTGGCTGTATCTTTAAATACATGAAGTTTACAGTAAACAAATTTGCATCATTGTATTGTCGAAGGCTTTCATGGCCGGAATCATTGGGTTGTTGTAGGTTTTTCGGGCTATATGGCCATGGTCTAGAGGCATTCTCTCCTGACGTTTCGCCTGCATCTATGGCAAGCATCCTCAGAGGTAGTGAGGTCTGTTGGAACTGGGCAAAAGGGTTTATATATCTGTGGAACGACCAGGGTGAGACAAAGGACTCTTGTCTGCTGGAGCTAGGTGTGAATGTTTCAACTGACCACCTTGATTAGCATACAGTGGTCTGACTGTGCCATTGTCTGCTGAAAGCATCGAACAGAAAGAAAATATCTGCATGTCCAGCGATCATCCATTACCAAATAAACTCTGATACCCCAATTAGGTTGTGTTCCTAACAGGTTATGATCTACCCCAATGGTCAGTGATCCTAACAGGTCATGATCCATTATCCCCAATAGATGGGGCCCTGGTTTCACATCCCTGATGAGTGATGCAACTCCTTGGATTTGAATCCAGTTATTTTCGGGACTATCTTTGCAGGGTCAACTCCATAAAATTTATGCAAAAGGGGAGTTGCCTTTGCTTTCCTCTGGGGCTGAGACAGTGTAACTTTCCCCAGGTCACACAGGGAGTTTCCACAACCAAACACGGATTTGAACTCTGGTTTTCAATGTTCAAACTGTTACGCCACAATTACCCTCATTTTCTTAATGGATTGCAGTGACAGTAACAAGGAATTCCTGCTGGGTGTTCAGAGTAATGAGTGAAGAACTAGCTCTATTTAAGAAGTTACAATCCAAGCTCTGATTGATTGCTAACAATCAATTAGTTCCATCAAGGAATTCCCACTGCAGTTCCCCTGGGATACATTAGCACCTTATTTTTTTCCATTCTGTTTCCCCACATCCTGGTCTGTTTTGAAGTTTTTGTTGTGTTGTTTATTCGTTTAGTCACTTCTGACTCTTCATGACCTCATGGACCAGTCCACGCCAGAGCTCCCTGTCGGCCATCACCACCCCCAGCTCCTTCAGAGTCAAGCCAGTCACTTCAAGGATACCATCCATCCATCTTGCCGTTGGTCGGCACCTCTTCCTTTTTCCTTCCATTTTCCCCAGCATCATTCTCTTCTCCAAGCTTTCCTTTCTTCTCATGATGTGGCCAAAGTACTTCATCTTTGCCTCTACTATCCTTCCCTCCAATGAGCAGTCAGGCTTTATTTCCTGAAGTATACTCTCAGAACTTTCCTCCAACACCACAATTCAAAAGCATCTATCTTCCTTCGCTCAGCCTTCCCTAAGGTCCAGCTCTCACATCCGTAGGTGACTATGGAGAATACCATTGCTTTAACTATGTGGATCTTCATTGCCAGTGTGATGTCTCTACTCTTCATTATTTGTCGTGTCAGGGCAACCAGTCAACTATATTACATTTCTAACAGAACAAAGCAAACAAACAGACAGACAAAATACAAAATTTGTGAGTTTGGTAGTTGATTAAATGTCCTTTCGACAAGGTCCCCCATGAGCTTCTGGCAAGGAAACTAGTCCAATGTGGGCTAGGCAAAACTACGGTGAGGTGGATCTGTAATTGGTTAAGTGGACGAACACAGAGAGTGGTCACTAATGCTTCCTCTTCATCTTGGAAAGAAGTGAAAAGTGGAGTGCCGCAGGGTTCCGTCCTGGGCCCGGTCCTGTTCAACATCTTTATTAATGACTTAGATGAAGGGCTAGAAGGCATGATCATCAAGTTTGCAGACGACACCAAATTGGGAGGGATAGCCAATAGTCCAGAGGACAGGAGCAGAATTCAAAACGATCTTGACAGATTAGAGAGATGGGCCCAAACTAACAAAATGAAGTTCAACAGTGACAAATGCAAGATACTCCACTTTGGCAGAAAAAAATGAAATGCAAAGATACAGAATGGGTGACGCTGGCTCGAGAGCAGTACGTGTGAAAAAGATCTTGGAGTCCTCGTGGACAACAAGTTAAACATGAGCCAACAATGTGATGTGGCGGCAAAAAAAGCCAATGGGATTTTGGCCTGCATCAATAGGAGCATAGTGTCTAGATCTAGGGAAGTCATGCTAACCCTCTATTCTGCTCTGGTTAGACCACATCTGGAATATTGTGTCCAATTCTGGGCACCACAATTCAAGAGAGATATTGACAAGCTGGAATGTGTCCAGAGGAGGGCGACTAAAATGATCAAGGGTCTGGAGAACAAGCCCTATGAGGAGCGGTTAAGGAGCTGGGCATGTTTAGCCTGAAGAAGAGAAGGCTGAGAGGAGATATGATAGCCATGTATAAATATGTGAGAGGAAGCCAAAGGGAGGAGGGAGCAAGCTTGTTTTCTGCTTCCCTGGAGACTAGGACGCGGAACAATGGCTTCAAACTACAAGAAGGAGATTCCATCTGAACATGAGGAAGAACTTCCTGACTGTGAGAGCCGTTCAGCAGTGGAACTCTCTGCCCCGGAGTGTGGTGGAGGCTCCTTCTTTGGAAGCTTTTAAACAGAGGCTGGATGGCCATCTGTCGGGTGATTTGAATGCAATATTCCTGCTTCTTGGCAGGGGGTTGGACTGGATGGCCCATGAGGTCTCTTCCAACTCTTTGATTCTATGATTCTATGATCCTCCATTGTGCATGTGGCAGGGCTCAGGTTGCATTGCAGCAGGTGGTCAGTGGTTTGCTCTTCTCCACACTCGCACTTTGTAGCCCCACTTTGTAGCCCCATTTCTTAAGATTGGCTCTACATCTCGTGGTGCCAGAGCGCAGTCTGTTCAGTGTGTTCCAAGTCTCCCAGTTTTCTGTGTGCCCAGGGGGGAGTCTCTCATTTGGTATCAGCCATTGATTGAGGTTCTGGGCTTGAGCCTTCCACTTTTGGACTCTCGCTTGCTGGGGTGTTCCAGCGAGTGTCTCTGTAGATCTTAGAAAAGTATTTCTAGATTTAAGATGTAATACTCTTCACTATTTTATCGAGATTGGACATTGTTCTCCTCCCAAGAAGTAAGCGTCTCCTGATTTCCTGGCTGCGGTCTGAGTCTGCAGTAATTTTTGCACCTGGAAATACAAAGTCTGTCACTGCCTCCACGTTTTCTCCCTCTGTTTGCCAGTTATCAGTCTTGTTGCCATAATCTTGGTGTTTTTTATGTTTAACTGCAACCCAGCTTTTGCACTTTCTTCTTTCACCTTGGTTAGAAGGCTCAGTTCCTCCTTTACTGTTTGAAGTACAGAGGGGCAACTACTTCTAGGTTTTTTTTCCTGGAAGGTTTAAAATAGGTTGCATTTGTGTGAGCAAAAATGCACCAAAACAGGCAATTGTGCCTTGTAATACCATCAGGGGCTGAATATGGAGTGGTGGATCAAGACATTCATAGAATCATAGAACCATAGAGTTGGAAGATACCTCGTAGGCCATCCAGTCCAACCCCATTCTGCCTGTTGAGCCAGGCATTGTCCCCCATTCTGTATCTTTGCATTTCATTTTGTCTGTCTAAATGGAGTATCTTCCATTTATCACTGTTGAACTTCATTTTGTTAGTTTTGGCCCATAATCTCTCTAATCTGTTGAGATCATTTCTATTTCTGCTTCTGTCTTCTGGAGAATTGGATATCCCAATTTGGTCCCATCTGCAAACTTGATGATCACGCCTTCTAACCCTTCATCTGAGTCATTAATAAAGATCCTGAGCAGAACCAGGCCCGGGACTGAACTCTGCTGATAGCACTCCACTCGTCACTTCTTTACAGGACTGGTGAGAATCACACTTCGTTCGTTCACTTAACCAATTACAGATCCACCTAACCATTGTTTTGCCTAGCTCACATTGGACTAGTTTCCTGGCCAGAAGGTCATGATGGTCCTTGTCAAAGGCCTTCCTGGAATCCAGAGACGCTCCATCCACGGCATTCCCTGCATCTACCCAGCTTGTAATTCTCTCTCTCAAAAAAAAAAAAAAAATAGACCAGATTAGTCTGGCTTGATTTGTTTTTGATCAATCCTGTGACCCTTGGGAGCCTGGGGGAAACACAGCCCTAGACCTCTGCCCTATACACCCACTCATTTTTGCCTAGGCTATAATAGAAATACCTTATGTTACCTGTAATGCTTCTAGGAATCGGAAGGACCCCAGGCGCCTCCCTCGGGGAATGATGCAAAAGGTGGAGTTGTGCAAAAGTTCCTGATAATCAAACCTGAAAGGGAGAAGACAAATGTGTGGGTTTCGAAAGCAATTTTGGTAGCTGTGTGCACTCGCCCTCCCTCGTTTCACCTATGAACAACAATATCCGATTGCAGTGTTCATTCTGGAATTCATCTGGCGTTTCGGGCATAGCTTTCAAATCTCGGACTAGAAAACCAGGAGCTTCTCAGAAGCCAGGAGGAGGTCAAGAAGCAAATGTGTATAATGGGGCCTTCAGCAAAAGCCATTCACTTGCTCCTTCTACCTTCAGAGGCATTTCTGGTGGGAACACTTGGCCGCGCCTACTTTGTAGCTGCTCCCAAGCTCTAGAAATCCAGCCCTAGTGATGCTAAACTGGCTCCTTCCTTGTTGCCCACCCATCAGCAAGTCAGGAGCCTTGGTTTCCAGTAGTGAACGTTGAACAAGAAGCCTTCTAATTTCACCAGGATTGAAAATCTGAAAGAAGACCATTCAAAGAATTTCTTCCTAATGTTCAAGTGGGATCTCCTTTCCCATAATTGGAACCCATTGCTCCAATTCCTACTGTGCTATATTACCTACAAATTACCAGGATTACCTGGGAAGGAATCCCACTGGAGCACTGCAGCACACCAAAATAGTTGGGAGTTACCCTGGACTTACAAGAAGCACTGCTTGAATATCAAGCAAAAAGTGGGTGCTAAAAATAATATCATATGAAAGCTGACTGGAACAACCTGGGGATCACAACCAGACACAGTGAAGACATCTGCCCTTGCGCTTTGCTACTCTGCTGCTGAATACGCATGCCCAGTGTAGAATACGTCTCACCATGTTAAAACAGTGAATGTGGCTCTTAATGAGACATGCCCCATCATCACAGGATGTCTACTGTTCCACCGGTATTGCACCACCTGACATCTGCCATAAAGTAGCAGTCAATAATGAAAGGACCAAGGCAGTGACATCTCCGGCCCATCCCCTGTTTAGATATCAGCCAGCACGGCAATGCCTTAAATCAAGAAATAGTTTTCTAAGATCTACAATGATACTCACAGTAACACCTCAGCAAGTGAAAGTCCAAAAGTGGCAGACAAAAACCCGGAACTTCAATCCATGGCTGATATTGAATGAGACTCCCTCCCAGACACACAGAAGACTGAGCGACCTGGAAGGTGCTGAACAGACTGACACCACGAGATGCAGAGCCAACCGTAAGAAATGGGTCACAAGGTGGAGTCCACGACATACAAGTGTGGAGAAGAGCAAACCATAGACCACTTACTACAATACAGCCACCTCTCTACCAAAGTCAACATCGACACCGAAATAAAACACCACCTGAGCTCTGCGAGTGCAGCATTTTTCTGAATGAAGCAGAGAGTGTTTGAGGACCGGGACATCTGTAGGGATACCAAGGTGCTTGTTTATAAAGCTATTGTCCTCCCAACCCTGCTATATGCCTGCGAAACGTGGACTGTCTACAGACGTCACATGCAACTCCTGGAACGATTCCATCAACGCTGCCTTTGGAAGATCCTGCAAATCTCTTGGGAAGACAGGCAGACAAATGTCAGCGTGCTGGAAGAAGCAAAGACCACCAGCATTGAAGAGATGGTCCTCTCCGCTGGATCAGCCATGTTGTCCGAATGCCCGACCATCGTCTCCCAAAGCAGTTGCTCTACTCCGAACTCAAGAACGGAAAACGGAATGTTGGTGGACAGGAAAAGAGATTTAAAGATGGGCTCAAAGCCAACCTTAAAAACTCTGGCATAGACACTGAGAACTGGGAAGCCCTGGCCCTTGAGCACTCCAGCTGGAGGTCAGCTGTGTCCAGCAGTGCTGTGGAATTTGAAGAGGCACGAATGCAGGGTGAAAGAGAGAAACGTGCCAAGAGGAAGGCGCGTCAAGCCAACCCCGACCGGGACCGCCTTCCACCTGGAAACCAATGCCCTCACTGCGGAAGAAGATGCAGATCAAGAATAGGGCTCCACAGCCACGTATAGACTTACAAGAATTCTGATCCTGGAAGACTATCCTACTCGGCCAACGAGGGATCACCTAAGTAAGTAAGTAAGTAACTACAATGCAACCTGAGCCCTGCCATATGCACAATGGAGGACCTTCTTACAGCAACACAGAGGCACTCCAAGTGGCCAGCTACTGGTCAAAGGACATTTAATATAATGCCAGGTTTTTAAAATACATTACAATTGTACCCTCGGTTCGCTCCTGAGACAATAAATAAATACCTACAAATGCCTAGAGAACTACAATTCCAGTGATTCCACAGAATTAAGTCCTGGCAGTTGAAGTGGTGATAAACTACACTGGTTATCAAAGTGACAATAAACAGTGTAGATTAGGCCTGGGCAAACTTGTGCCCTCCAGGTGTTTTGGACTTCAACTCTCACAATTCCTAACAGCCTCAGGCCCCTTCCTTTTCCCGCAGGGAAAAGGAAGGGGCCTGAGGCTGTTAGGAATTGTGGGAGTTGAAGTCCAAAACACCTGGAGGGCACAAGTTTGCCCAGGCCTGGTGTAGATGCACCCCAAGTACTTAAATACATTGCCTGCTTTTAGGGATTTACTCCTGCAAAAGGGGCTTTGAAGCAATAAATACACCGATCACAACCACAAAAGATGCAAAAACAGCATGATCAAAGCTGAGAAATCAGCCTCATTGTTTTCCGTGTAGGCAATTTGGGACTTGACCATACCAGCTTGCAGTCTCATGGCAATTATCATGTATGTAACATTCACACGAGTTACTCATAAGAAATAAGCACTTTCTCCTGCTCTCTAAGGCTCCAACTCAGGAGTACAAAGGGATGACTCACGTCTTCGCTGCAATCCTATGGCAGGAGAAATGTGTCACCAGGGACGGGGGAGACAGGAGGAGGGCAGAAAGGAAGGATGGATCAGTGACAGATGTTGGCTCCAAATACATGACAAATCTACCCTAGGTTTCAGTGTCGACTTTACTGGTGCTGTGCAAAGCACTCAAACTGTTTTGGAAATGGACTCAACACCTCAAATGGCACACTTAAATGTCAGTTTTGTGTTTTTAATTCAGTTTGCAGCAATTGAAGCAAGGTGAGGACACAGAGGGGAGGTGGGGATTGAAACCTGGACATTTCGTGGGATGGGATAGCACCAATTGGACAGTCTAACTGTAATTGGGAGAGTTAGAGCAGTGGTTCTCAGCCTTTCTAATACTAACATGATAGGAAGTGGCTAATTTTACAGTGTAGATGGAGCCCCCGGTTGTGCATTGGGTTAAACCCTTGTGCCGGCTGGACTGAAGACCGACAGGTTGCAGGTTTGAATCCGGGGAGAGAGCAGATGAGCTCCCTCTATCAGCTCCAGCTCCTCATGTGGGAACATGAAAGAAGCCTCCCACAAGGATGATAAAACATCAAAACATCCAGGCGTCCCCTGGGCAATGTCCTTGCAGACGGCCAATTCTCTCACACCAGAAGCAACTTGCAGTTTCTCAAGTTGCTCCTGACACGACAAAAATCAATAAATCCAGTGGTGGGCAGCTCTGTACTGGTTTAGGGGGGAAAATACAGAAGGAGTACTCATATTGCACAGCTGCAGCACTTTGATAGCACTGGGATTTGTATTTTCCCAAGAACTCAGAACAGTGTTTCTCAATCTTCCTAATACCGCAACCCCTTAATACAGTTCCTCATGTTGTGGTGACCCCCAAACATAAAATTATTTTTGTTGCTACTTCATAATTGTAATTTTGCTATTGTTATGAATCACAATGTAAATATCTGATAGGCAGGATGTATTTTCATTCACTGGACCAAATTTGGCACAAATACCTGCATGGCAGCTGGATGGGTGGTAACCTCACAGTTGAAGCTACCTGAGAAGGCAAGTAAGTAGTAGTCTAATATTCAGACAATCACAGTGAATATCCAGTGATTTACAGTGCTCTTTGGACCCTTCTCCAAAAAAATCAGATGCCCTGACAAATCCTGTGGCTCATCCGTGATGGCAATAGTCTTGGACAGCAATGGCTCCCCAAGAGACCATTTAAGGTGGAATCAGGTGTCAAACAGGCATATGTTATTGTCCCAACCTTATTCTCCATCTTCATCACTATGATACCGCAATTTGTTGATGGGAAACTTCCCACCAGCATGGAAATCTTCTATTGGATAAATGACAAGCTATTTAACCTCAGAAGATCGAAAGCCAAAATCAAGGTCACAACAACATTTATTTTAGAACTCCAATATGCTGATGATGATGTAGTAGTCTGTGCTCATTCAAAAGAAGACCTACAAGCCACTCTAAACACCTTTGCAGAAGCATATGAAAAGCTCTCACTGAACCTCGAGAAAACCAAAGTGCTCTTCCAGCAGTCACCAGCCAATCCCTCTGCAATGCCAAAAATACAGCTTATTGGTGTAATATTAGAAAATGTTGACCATTTACGCTACCTTGGCAGCCACCTCTCCACAAAAGTCAACATTGACATTGAAATACAACACCATCTGAGCTCTGCGAGTGCAGCATTCTTCCAAATGAAGCAGAGAGTGTTTGAGGACTGGGACATCTGTAGGGAGACCAACATGCTATTTTATAAAGCTATTGTCATATCCCCATATATGAACCCACACGTTGCGGAACCCCCAGTGGCGCAGTGGGTTAAATTCCTGTGCCGGCAGGACTGAAGACCGACAGGTCGCAGGTTCAAATCCGGGGAGAGGCAGATGAGCTCCCTCTATCAGCTCCAGCTCCTCATGCGGGGACATGAGAGAAGCCTCCCACAAGGATGATAAAAACATCAAATCATCCAGGCGTCCCCTGGGCAACGTCCTTGCAGACAGCCAATTCTCTCACAGCAGAAGCGACTTGCAGTTTCTCAAGTTGCTCCTGACACGACAAAAAAAACCCCAAAAAACACACACGTTCCCTTCGATCATCTGGAGAGGCCCTGCTCATGATCCCACCTGCGCGCGTTTGGTGGGGACGAGGGACAGGGCCTTCTCTGTGGTGGCCCCCCGACTCTGGAAC